ACAGATACTGGTGTGGGGTGACGCTAATGACGCAGTCAGTAACGTGTATCGATGAATAGCTACGATTCGCTATTGTTCGGCTCTGTGAGGGACTTTCACGCTCCAGTGGGTCCGATGGGAGGTTTGGCAGTTTCTAGAAGGTGTTCTGGGGCGCCATCCGTCTCGGGCGATCGCATGGGAACAAGTCCCGGGAGAAGTTGAACATGGTCGCGTTCCGAAAGTTTGCATGGGACATCATCTTGTGCCAAAAGTCGTACGGGTCTCCATGACGTTCGTGACGGTTTTGGAGCACCGTAGTTTTGACGACCTAATAGGGAACACTGACGATTGCAGGAGGTCAGGTTGGGCCATTTATGTGTTTCATGCTCTTTACGTGATTTCATTCCGTTTGTGATGATTTACCGACATGCTGCCATGCACCGGAGTGCCCAGTCAGATCCGACGCCAGCGTGTTGCACAGTTCCAAAAGTGCACGGGTCGAGGGATCCAGAACTGTGTGGTCCGCACGTATGAGCAGTGGCGTCAGTGCTAACGCAGCAGACCTTTCTCAGCACCGCTCTAGCAAATGATGCGTGCCACTGGATTTGCAATGAAAAAACAAAACGGCAGCGCAGCCATTCAGTCGCGACTTGGCAGCCTGGGAAAATCTGAACAAGGCGTGTAGTTTTGCTAGATAGGTTGGGGGGCTGAGCAGGTAAATTGCTAACTCAACATACCCCAAAATGTGTCAAAGAACGGGCCTCTCTCCGAATTCATCCCGCTGTCGCCTCAAAGTTGGGAGACTGGGCTCTTCCAGCTGGATAGTAAGCCACACCGTCGGTCTCAACTGTGCCAGTGGCACACCGCCAGCTGACGACGCTGGACAATCCATAATGTATAGCCTCATCCATACGCTATGAGATGACCCAGGCAGTCACTAGCGAGTGCGCGTGCTGGGAACAGGTAAGATAAAGCGTAAACCCAACATTGTAAGAACGTAGCATGAGGCACTTCAGCTATTCCATGCACGAAGTTGGAAAACGCCATGGCAAGAAATCAATCCAAGCCGGTTTCCATCGCTTCCAAATCTGTACTCGCCCCTAAATCTTCCAAATCTGTCCTCCTTGTCGTGAAGTTTTCGAGCGTGTCGCTCTCGTGCGGGCAGCGGTGCATCCCTCCCCTCCCCATCCAGTGTCCGCCACTGCGCCAGCTGCTCGATGGGAGGACCATAAAAGTCTGATGACTATCTGCTTCATATTGCCGCACCGACGCGGCTCGGGGACGAGAGCACCCTATCGGAGCCGACCTGATAGCGGGGCCGAACCACCGCCCCCACCCCCACAACTTCCTCCCAGTACCCTGCACCGGCCACATAACGTCGCCCGCCGGCCTATTTCGGGCCGGGATATGTGCTGCAATGCATTTGGGTTTGTAAGTACGCCGTTGCGTGTTATTCATGAGCCTCGTAACTCGGGCCGGCGAACGGCTTAGCCGTTAATGTCGTGTTATGCCGAATTTAAGACGAACGTCAGTCTGCCTCTAGGACTTGGACTGGGGCTGGTGGCAGGGACTATGAAGATGAAACCCCCGTCGGCGGGGCGGCGCACTCCGGCGCCGCCGGCGCTCTACCTCACCGCCTGTCTGGCTGCGTATAGGAGTGTGCACGAGACCAGAGGTGGGAGGCCATGCTGCGTAAAGCTGATCTTGAAGGGATGTTCTACATTTGTGTGGGGTTTTGAACCGAAATAGCTATCTTGAAGCTCATGTGGTGCGGGTGACAATCCTGCCCTTCTTAACATCTAAACCCATGTAGTTCCTAAGCTACACGTTCGCAAAGATGTACAGACTTATTTGTGCAGACTATTCCAAGGTCCCTGAGGCATCCATAATGTCATAATAACAGTATTCAATTATTGTTACTTCATGGGCCATGCGGTGATCAAAGCCAAAATATGCAATTGACCAGCCGTTCATATCTGGCGTTCGTAACCACGATTTCCAGATATAACGTCTGTCAACTGGCTCTCAATGCCTTGTAAGGCGCGATTACACAATCAATCAATGACGTAATGAGGAGCATATTTACGAAATAAAGACATTGTGATGTCTAGAACAGTTTTTTCCGCTTAAGAGCGTGCCAATAGTTACAAGTGAGCTCACTTCCCGATGTATTCCCATCATACCCGATGTATTCCCATCATACCCGATGTATGCTTTAAAGTTTTCAAATGTGGAACGTTTCCTTTCAGACCGTATCCCCTTTAGTTTATAACCTATAGATCCGCGAAAATGTTTAAGGCTATTTCGTACGGAATATTTTGAGGTCATCCAGACAGCCACAACACTATAATAACGGCATTCAAATTCTGTCATTTCATTGGCCGTGCGTCGATCGATGTCAAGAAAAATGTCATTGACCAGCCGTTCATATCTGGCGTTCGTGAGCACGGTTTCCAGATACAACGGCCGCCAACTGGCTCCCCATCAATGTTTTGCAAGGTGCGATGACGCAATCAAGCGATGACGTATTGAGGAGCATATTCACTAAATATAGAAACGGTGGTGTCTAGAGCAGTCTTTTCCACTTAAGAGCGTACCAATACTTACATCGCCATATCTGATCCTTGCCTCAGTATGTTGAGAAGTGGAGCATTCCCTTTAAAGTGCGCGTCTGGGTTTTCACAACCCAAAGCACCACCTGTGTATACATGGGTGGTAGCTAAGGGAGCTAGAGCGCCTCTGCAGGCCTCGCCGCCTCGCAGACACGTGCCGGCGTCGGGTTGGATGTGATATCGATATAGGTCAATATGAGTCTTCTAGTCACCACTGTTGCGCTGTTATCCCCTAGAGTCAGTGGTGTTGGGGCGGTCCGGACGGGCGCGAGTACTCACCACCATCGGGCGCACCACACGGTTATGTCCGAGCGCCGCAGGACGCTAGCGGTCCCACACCATAGCACCAGGATTTGGAGTCCGGAATCGAATGCCGTGCCGGGCTCTGATTCCGCGTCGTGCTCAAACGCCGCGTCGTTGCCCTCCTGTGGTCAATGTCTACAAATTGTTTGAGCTACGCTGCAAGATTAAATACTCCACTCGTTCATACACTCCAGCTGTTTGATTCCCTTCAGCTATCATTGCCACAGCATTGCTAATGGTGTTTGAGTTCGGAAACAACATATATTTCTCAAGCGCTCAAGACTAAGGTGATGTATCTATCAGCACGACCGCGGTATTCCCAAACCAGTTCAATTTTTCTAATTCCACTCCCGCAGTCGCCTGCGCGCGCGCTCTGCTTGAGATAAGAACAGGCCAGCGTCATAGAAAAGTGCTTGTTTTCCTTTAGCCGTCTTAGAAAAATGCTTCCTGTTAGCCCTTTTAGACTTTCATCATGAGCCACGGACCTAATTTGGGACGGAATATGAAGTGCACCAAAAAGAGGATAAGCGGCAGCGAAATCCATCTTTTGTCGTTATGGGTAGCAAAATAGCCGCACAACTTCACCCTGTACTCATTTTCATTTGATCCTGATGCACATATCCGTAAGCCACATAGGCGGTACTCCATGATGTAGTCCCATAGGGCCAAATCTGCAAGCGTAAGATGACTGATGTGTACATGGTGGTGAAACAAAGAATGTCTGTGAAGGGAAATTTAGCGGCTAGTGTGCGGGCCTGACTGCAGGCAATTGGTTTTGCCCTATGTATCCTACTTCCACGTGCATTTCATATTCGTTATCAAAGTAGGTTCTCTCCCCAATAATACAACCGTCGAAAGGGCT